AAACCAGCTGCTGTCAAGTCAACTCTGGCTCATGAGGACCCCATGTATGACTGAGTAGGTCTGTGTTCCACAGGATTTTCAATGTCTGATTTTCTGGAAGTAGATCACCAAACCTTTCTTCGGAAGCACCTCTGAGTAGACTTGAACCACCAAACTTTCAGATAGCAGCCAAGAGCCTTAACCATTTGTGCCACCCAGGACTCCCCCTAGATAATATGCTTTTTATAAAAATTTATCACAGTTTGATGGAATGCTTGGGTTTTCTAAGCTGGACTAAGTATTGAGGGTCTGCAGAGATTTCTTCTGGCATTCTTCTCTTCCCTTCCATAGGAAACAACAATTTGAGCAGTGGCTGAGCACTGCCCTCTTGAAGACTGACTAAGGATTTTGGATAGAGTCTGCAGCGTGATTCATTACTTTTGTGTAAGGCCTTTCTAGCCATGGTCTTGTAACTCTCACCCAGGTGATTGTGTGATAGGGTAATTGTGGCCTACCAAGGGGATTGCTTAGTTGCCTGAAAAGAGAGCTGATTCCAGAGCAGAAAGGAGGAGCCCACCACCACCAAGGAAGGAGAGACCAGCAGCAGAGAGCTGGCTGCAAAAGACGGTGCAGTGGGCTTCCCAGCACATGGCGAGAGAAAGCTGAGTGCCTTTGGGCAGAGACTGAGGGCCAGGGAGAGGCGTGCCTGCAAGCACATCTAGGGAGAAGCTATCTTGATGCAAGAACTATGTCCTGAATAATCTTGAGCCTGAATTGTAAGTGTTACTTCCCTAATAGGAGGGATCAGTCCCTGGAGAAGGACATCAAGCTTGGTACAGGGTTACTGAAAAAGAGGAAGACCCTCAACGAGATGGATTGACACAGTGGCTGCAACAATGGGCTCAAACATAACAATGATTGTGAGGATGGTGCAAGACTGGACAGTGTTTCATTATGTTGTACACAGCGTTGCTGTGAGTTGGAACCAACTCAATGGCACCTAACAACAACAATAGCTTCCCTAATAAACGCCATAATTGTGAGTTTGGCCTGTGAGTTCTGTGTGGCCATTGCAATGAATTATCAAACCGAGTACAGAGTGCTCTGGGAGGGACAGCTGGTGTCAGAATTGGTGTAGAGATGGCAGAGGAAGGAGGCATGTCTGACCTCCACCTCATAGGAATCAGTCTTGGGCTGTTGATCTTGCTTTTCCTTTCCCCTTGTGGGGTTGGATGAGGTCAGACACCTCCTCCATGCCATTTTTACAGAGTCAAACACTCTGGAGCCATACTTTGCTGATCTACCCTGTTTTTATGAGGCAGCCAAAGCAGCTGTTTACATTCAAACTGCAGTTTCTGACTCAAGCCACAGTTTAAACGGATTACGAATATTTTCCTCCTGAAACCCCTTCAAGGGTCCCTGAAGGTTGAGATGAGCTTTGTACTCCTAGGGCCAGAGCAGGAGGAGAGGGTTCATACCACAAGAATGCCTGAGTCCCAGGGTCTCCCCTCCCTCACCTAGCTAGCCCTTAAACAAAAAACAAAAAAAAACCCATTGCCAACCCTCCAACTCATAGTGACTCTATACGACAGAGGAGAACTGCCCCATAGGGGTTTCCAAGATGTGGCTAGTGGATTAGAACTGCTGACCTTTTGGTTAGCAGCCAAGCTCTTAACCACTGTTCCACCTATCCCTTAGAGTCCTTAGATTTACTTTAGGAAAACATGGTGGTCTTTTCCCATCTGAGGACAAAAGCAAGGTTTAGCTTCTTCTGAAATGCTTCAAGAAGTGGCTGTATTTGGTGAGCATTCCAAAAGGAAGCTTAAATTCAGAGACACCTCATTAATGGCCACCCCCATCAAACAGGCTAATCATATTTTTAAGAGTTTCAATATTTATTCTAGAGACAACAGCCATCTGGTTTGGAGGGAGAAAGATGGGAAGAGAAACCAGTTCAGTTCTTGTTTGTTTTTAAGAATAAATCTACCTCAACATTGAACCATCTGTTTATGTTCACCTTTGTGACGTTTTTTTCCCCCTCTTCCTCTGTTCTGTCTTTAACTTTTCTAAAACTTACCAAAGGTTATGAAATTGGAAGGCGGTCATACCTGAATGACTTGCTAAGGGTATTTCCCCTTCCCAGCATTGAACCTGCCTGTAAGAGTTATAGAGGATGAGGAACGTATTCCTCAAGATGAAACGTTCCTTTTCCTGACCATTTGATAATATTCTCAGTAAAAGTCAGGTGTTAACAACATTATAGGTCAGGTGATACTGAGATCACTAAGTAGTAGTTGATCCATAAAGGTTTGTTGCCTGGAACTGGAAGTTATCGGAGGGTTTAGGACACAGAGAAACGTTTTTCCATAGATTATTGTAGTTGAAAGACATAACCGCCCGTTTCCCCTGCCCCCGACTTACCTTTTCTTGAAAATGCGTGATCATGCAGACACATCTACACACAGAACTATAGAGCTTTAGAGGTAAACAGGACCTTAGAGACACACGCAAACCCAGTTTTAGGCTGCAGAAAACGTGGGAGAAAGCAGCGCTTTGAAACCTGTCTGCAGTCCAGAGCAGCCTCGAGGCTGGGAGCTCAGCTCCCCAAATATCAAATTTATCTCAATTTGGCAACAAGCTGAAAGCCTATCTGGGGCCATTTAAATTCTAATGTTATTAAGGGCTCATTTAATCAGCTTTAAAAATAAACTGCTTTCAAATGCACAGGGAATGAAGGTAAGATAGAGGTAGGCTGAGGAATGCAGTTCAGACCAGCCTGGTGAATGCACCTGTCTGAATTACCAAAGAGCCATGAGGCTACCTGGGTGTCTTCCTACCTGGTAACTTCTGCAATTGCAATACCAAACCATGCTAGTGAAAAGCTCTTTGTAAATGCATGTGTGAGACGGCTAATCTAGACAGCAACGGCTGCCTATGAGGTCACTTGCACACGTGACAAGGCCTATTAGGGTGAGATGTAGTGGCCTCTGTGCCAGGAGGTGGCATTGAGATTTAATCAATAGAGCATCTGGTGCTTCTGAGAACTTCCTCTGAACACTGTACCCTGTAGACTTCTGAGAAGTTCCGCCCTCAGGAGAGCCCAGCAGGATTCACAACCCCTGCCTGGACCCAAGTACGTTGTTAGTTGACTTCAAGTTAAGGCCCTCAGATCCAGCTTTGGGTTGACTCTTCCTGAGCCCAAGAACTTCTTTCGGCCCTGGACTTAAATGGAGGTTGACCCTAGTGTGTTTATGGCTTTGATGTGGTCTGGGATTGCCGTTGAAAGGGCAGTCTCATCCTGGTCTTTTATGAGCATGCTCTGATTCAACCTGCAGATTGATTTCCAAAGGTAGGACTGAGGACAGGAGCCTCGTGGCTGCAGTGAGGTGTGATGGTGATGTTTGTCTTCCATGGTCTTTCCTCTCCTCCCACCGCCTGCCTCCACATGGGCTGCCCACATCCCACCACGGAGCCTCACCTAGCCTGGCAGAGTCCTGGACCGCCTCTCACATTCTTCTAAACTCTCCATCAACCGCCTCAGAGATCAGGGGTGGATGAAAACATCTGAGTGCTCTTGTCAAGCTAGTAACTTGTCACACATTTAAACCAATATTCTTTACATATTTATTCAACATCTATTTAAAGAGGGTGACAGCACCCCAGATCTCATACCGCAGTTGAACCCATCTTCTTCAGAAGTCATTTTGGAGACCCATGATTTTTATTTGAGCGGGTTCCTTGGGTGGGGATTTCATCCCCCATTGTAAGTGGTTTATCAAATATTCTTTCATCTACACAAGTGCTTTCTCTGAGCACAGTGCTGGTAAGTAAGAATTTCTCCATCTTTTTACATTTTCAGTGATGTTTGTGTGATACTTATAGACAAGTGCCCCTAGTTACTGCTCAGCTCGTCTACCCTGTTCCAACCCTGCTTGGTTGACAAGAACTTGAAGTCAATCAGCTGTTAGCCTAGAAGCACCAAATTAACCAATTCACCCTTAAATGTGAAGGGCTGATAGTCAGCTTAAAGTGAGGCTGTCTCTGGTGAGCCTGCATGTTTAAAGGTATTTGAAATAACCTGGGGTACTTTGTAATCAGGTGCCCCAGAGTGAAGGTGTTCTAGGCTGATTTAAATGTAGAACTTCAGAAAAGACTTATCTCCAAAGAGTACCATCATGGGGCACTAAAGTAGATATATTTGAGTATGAGGAGGAAAATGAGTTTTTCCTGAACACACTTTAGCAATAGTGTAAACAAACGAGAGGGAAATTGGTGGGTACAGTATTATTGTTTTGTACCCTGAAAAAGGGCCACGCCTGCTTGGAAAGTTGCCGAGTCATTGTATCAAGTTGAGTGCAATGGCAAGTTATTAGGGGAGCAATATATTCACTGTGCCTGTCACTCTGTGAATCCTAGAAGGCTTCTCCCATGCACCATTTTTTAGAGGTTATTATTTCAACCTGAAAATTCTTTGGAAATATATATGTGGTATGAAACAGGAATTCGGAAAGCTTTTAAATTAAAAGAAATAAAATGACAGGTTTTTCCTCTAGCCATATAAATAGTTATGGATAGAGAAAAAGAGATGGATATTTTATCATAATACTTTATTAGGGGTTTTGGAACTCCAGAAATTTTAGAGCCAGGCTGGTGAATAATTTAGCACTGATTCATATGGGCTCGGCACAGACGCGGGTGGGCTGGGAATCAAGTCTAGCCTCTTGGAGGGACTGAGTGCAGTAGCACGCTTTTATTACCAACCACATCATGAAATGCATTTCAGAAATATTTTATGAGTAGACAAAGCCTCGGTACCCCGGCTCCTTCACCTTTGCAGAGACTGACTGCATGAAGCCCAGAAGGCGCTAATGTTGTTGACCACCTCATTCAGGGAGACTATGCTCCAGGCTGTTGTTTCAGTGACAGAGAGTCTCAAATCCCTGGGAATATGTAGTCACCAGTGAAAGCCTCCACCAGGCCATTGGAATGATGGATGATAAAAGGTTCAGGGGAAATGGTACCTTTAGTGATGATGTCCTCGTTGTTTTCTCTCTTCCACCACGTTCTTTAATCCTAACTCCAAAAGAGACCTGCCCTCTAGGCAGTTAAGATGATATAGCCGCCTGAAATTGAAACGAGAGGGAAGAAATATGTTCATGGTTTCAAAACAGACAACTTTGGCTTCCCTTATCCATCCCAACCCCACACCTCCTTTTTGAAAGAATTCGCAGGTGCACAGTGTGGATGTCTAAAGCAAGGGAAATTGTTATTTATTAAGTTATTTTATTTCTCTCCAGATAATTTTATTTATTTCATTAATTTTCTTTCATTCACTCTCATAGCTTTGTAACCAAATGGTAAACATTTAAGGTAAAAATTCTGCAGCATAATTATAAATCTAGAAATGGGTTCTGTGTAAAAATCTATTCCAAGATATTTGAAGGTGATCATAGCAATATGCTTAGATGATCTGATTATGACAAATGCTTGACACTTCCTCTAGGAAGCCTCCCAGGCCACCAAAACCTGAGCCCTTCTTATGTTCTTTACCCTTTCAAGACCCAATTATTTTCTCCTTTGAATTTTTTGTTGATACTATGTGTTTTCACTAATGGAAGGCATGCTGATTAAAGGACTAAGTCAGAATTTTTATTATGAGTTATGGATTTTGATACCCATTATGTGGGATCACGTGTGTCCCAGCAGACCCTGCATGTAGTAAATACTGGCAATAAGAGTCAAAGATAAAATCTTTTTTAAAAAAATTTATTTCTTGAAAATTTGCAAAACATGAGGTAAAACATGAAGGCACCTGGCCATGACTGCACACAACATATTATTCTAGTCTCCTTCTGCTTAGCCTTTTTATTATTTTACATGAAACTTTTTGAAACATGGTAAAAGCAGTACTTACAGCCCAAATAAATAAAACCAAGGGATTTTTTATCTCAAGAAAATTACCACTGCAATGCATTCTTCATTACTGCAAAAGCAGTACTTACAGGCCAAGTAAATAAAACTAAAGGAATTTGAGTCTCAGGAAAATGGCCACTACTATGTATTCTTCATTATAACAAAAGCAGAAACTGCTGCCTTGGAATATTGCAGAACTGCTCAGAGAGGTGCATTCCACCTGCTACACATGGAAGCAATGATTGGGTCCTAAGAGTGAATGCAGGGTAAGAATAACTTATAGGAGTTTGAGTTTGTTGAAAAGTACCACTGCAATGCATTATCCCTTATTGCAAAGTCATTATTTACCGTTCAAAAGCTAAAAAAGCAGACAGCCAGTAACACCTGGAAACAATGAAAGGCACCAAGGAGAAAATGGTCACTATGACTGAATGCAGACTAAGAATAGCTTATTCTCACGGTAAGTACTTTGTCACGAGAACATAGTAACCGGGAAACATAGTGAGGAGGCTCATCTCACAGAAATAACAGCCAATCTGTCAAAAGTTTAGAAAATTCACACATCCAAGAGATATCACCTAAAACAATGCTCAATCTATACCAAAATGAGGCTAAACTCAGGGTTCTTGAGTTTCCAGCATTTCAAAAGGCACCCACCTTGAGGCTAAATGTGTTAAAATTGGGCTACCTCATTCCCAAAGAACTACGGAGGCACAAACAGTGGTTGGGTTCCCCTACGTCCCACGGGTCATGAAAGGGTTTTAATGTCCATGGCACGCTATGCATTCCTATGACCCAAGTCACCACTTATTGCAAACCTGCTTGTTTGTATCATTTGTACTCTGGATTCTCAGCTCCTCAAACTAACCAGTTGCTGTAGAGTCAACTCTGACTCATGGCAACTCCATGTGTGTCAGAGTAGAGCTGTTCTCTACAGGGTTTTCAACAGCTGATTTTTCAGAAGTAGATTGCCAGGACTTTCTTTCAAGGCACCCCTGGGTGGACTCGAACCTCCAAACTTTTTGTTAGCAGCTGAGCACATTAATCATTTGCACCATCCTGGGATGCCTCAACTCCTCAAAGGTGAAGTTTTTGTCCAGCTCACTGCTTTAACACTTGCCCCAAGCACAAAGCCAGCACAGAGAAGTTCAATAAAGACTTATTGAATAAACAAATGCATGACAAAGAATAATTCTCTCAGGTTAGACACACCACCAACAGAAGCAGTGACACCTATTGACAGTGGGGAGTTTTCTTATCAGCAATTTGCTAATATCTTTTACCAGAGTTCCTAGGCAGAATTTGGAAAAGGCCTCCCCCTACACACTTCCCATGGATTATCAACACAGTCCCTGTCTGAAGCAGGATAATTACGCGTTCAAGGGCTTACTTCCCACAAGCCTTTCTGAGCCTTCACCAAATGGGACTTTGAGCCTCAGGGATCTCATTTACAGGTGCCTAAGGAGGGTTGCTATGAGTTGGAATCGACTGGACAGCAATGGGTTTGTTTTTTTTGGTTTTTAGAGGATGTAAGGTGCCCAGGTGGCTCAGTGGTTAAGAGCTATGGCTAAAGGTTGGCAGTTTGAATCCACCAGCTGCTTCTTGGAAACGCTATGGGGCAGCTCTACTCTGTCCTATAGGGTCATTATGAATTGGAATTGACTCCACGGCAACGCGTATAAGGAGGATGTATTTGCAAAACTCAGGTGGCACCTGAGGGAAGAAGGAGCAAGTTTTTGGCTAAAGTATAGGCTTGTTAATCTAAGTTGTTCCTGAATAAGTTAACCTTCCCTAGAGGACCTCTTGAAACCTCGAAATTGGAGGAAATAGTAGAGATCATTAGTTCTGGAAGGGCAAGTAAATTTATCTTCTGGTGAGTACTTCAGTACATCAGCAGTGGCGGTCTGGAGAGTGGGGTTGTGAAGGATTTTTAGGCTGTATCATTAGGAATGAGGGTGGTCACCAATGGGTCCTTCAGTGCTCAGGGTGGGGAGGTGTTGAAGGTGATATACATGCCAGGTATTTTCCACCTCCAATTCTAACCTGACTTCTCACCACATGGAGGAATTACAGGTAGTTTGGACAATAGAATTTGAACCGTGGCTATCCAAAATTTGCAACCAATTTTGCTGGCAGATGGCTCTGGTATTAGAAAATCTCTCCTCACATTGGAATTAAAACCCCCTCTCCATTTATGCTTCACCCATTGACCATTTTTTTCTCACTGTCTCTGAGGTGGTGACGTCACTCTCTGGAAGCTGGTTCAGTTTCTTTTGTACCAACTAAGTTAAAAGTCATCAAAACTGTTAGCAAAATCCTCTTCAGTTTAGTTCACTAAGCGTTGATTGAGCACCTTCACATGCTGTTTTATTGTTATCTGTTTCTCCAATTCAATACAGGATAGTCATTCATTCAACTAACACACATTTGTTACATTTAAATTTCTTTAGTTGATATTCTTAAAATTATAAAGGTGATATGTGCTTAGGACGTATGTAGAGAAAGCTAATCACTTTCCCCAAACTCAGTCCCTTGAGGTAACATTTTAATAGATTGGTATGTATCATTCCACACTGTCATCAGTTTCCAGGAAACTGACTGGCATGGGATATGCATGCTGGAGGTCTATTGGGACATACTCTTGTGGGGTACAACACCTGTGGTGGAATGAGGGCAGCAGGGTTGGCCAGAGGGAGGAGCTGAACTGCAATGCAGTAGCAAGGAAGGCTTCAGCCAACCCCACAGGGAGCTCTGGAGCTGTCTTGCACTGAGAAAGGGGCTGGGCCTTGCATGGACAAGTCTCTGGATGTGGCTGTCCTCAGGGAGGGGGTGGGCACAGCTTTGGGCAAAGATACTCTCTTTGGCTGAGGGTGAGTCCTGGAGAGGGCCTCAGCTATGAGCTGTCAGCAGCCAACACTCCCAGTAGCTGGGGCATTGAGAGCCTCAGTTGGGTGGCACCTCACAGCACCCAAAAGACACAGCCTCCACTTTGCTCCCTTAAACCTAATCATGCATATGCAACTGATACATGGGATGGTTTTGCTTATAGTTTTTAACTGAAATACCCTGCAACTTACTTTTAATTAACACAAGAACATTTTTTTCTTAATTTCTTTATGCATGCATACACATATTTTTACAAAAAGAAGATGCTATCATACATGCTAGGCTTTTTTAGTAGTTTTCTTACTTTTTTCTCTGCTGTTCGCCTCCCCCTCCTCTTCTTCCCCCTGTCATCCAAGTTACTCTTAACCGCAGTGTTGACAGCATGGAGTGTGTCCTTTTGTAGTTTTCTTCACACTTATATAACCACATATCTACATATTGGAATATGGATATATGTACTTATTTAGTTTGGGCTCATTGACGGCACTCATGGATTAAGAGCCTTCTGAGTGCAGAGGCTTGGGCCAGCCACTGGGGACATGAAGAACAGGACATAGTCTCTGCCCTGGAGGAGCAGTGTCTATGGGGGAGAGAGAAACGGGAGCTGGCAGTTAGGACACGGGAAGGAAGTTCACCTCTGGAAGCATGCTCCACGCACACAGAGAGTTATTTAGAGAATTAGAACTAGAGCACAGGGCTCCTGTATTCTAGTCCTGTGCTCTTTTCCATTTAACTAGCTTTTTTCTTTCCTTCTTTCCTTCTTTTTTTAACAAGTTTCAAATTATGGGCTGCGCAATGGCCAAATCGAATTTGAACAAGTCTGCGCTGACCTTCCTGAAGTCATGACTATGCTTGTCCTATTAGAATGAAGCTCATAATAAACCCAGTAGACTGGCCCTCATGATATAATCTTCATCACCTCCCTAATAGATCCATTTAATTTGATTAACAAGCCATACAACCCTGAAGATATCACATAAAAGCCTTATCTTCGGGTAGATTTTCATGTAACTGGTGACAAGGCACAGGACTATTATGACAGAAATTGAAGCTGGTATGTTTCCACATAGGCAAGTATTTCGGTGGATACAAGTTCTAGAGGCAAAACCATTAGCCGAGATAAATATCAGGTACAGGGCTGATGTTCCCCAGTTCTTTTAGCCTGCACACTTCCAGAGGAACTGAGAGAGAGAGGAAGTGAACTCACAAGAGACAGAAACCAGAGTAAAGAACATGGTGACCTGGCTTTCTGGCAACTTCAGAAAATTGATGTGATCTTCCTGCCCATCCTCAGAACCCACTCATTTGCCTGTACTTCCCCTCT